TTGCATTGTGGTAAATTGTGGTCAATGTCATGAGACAAAGTGTATGTGAACTGCTGTATGGAAAGTGAATTTGCTCTGTAAAATTTTCACCCAAATAACAATAAAAAAAAATAGAATAAAACAAAACAAAAAGAATGTTGTATTTTGTGAACCCTAACATTTTCAATATCTCTATCATAAAAGCCATCATTTCAAATAGCACTTACCCTGTGCTATTGTAATTTGAGTCATACAGCTTACCTAGTCTAATTAACTGAGCTTCTGGAGGAAAAAAGGACTAGACATGTAAGTTTCCGAAGCTCAGAAAAAGTTCTAAATCTCCAAAAAAAGAAGTCTCTTTGTAAAATAATGTAAACTAAAATCATTTAATTTCTGGAAAGACATTAAGTTTATGAATTGCCTTAAAATATATGTTGCTTCTTAAAATTATTTAGTGCTTTTGAAAGTTAGCAAATTAACTGAATACTTATTTTCCAACCCAGTGCAATTATTAATAAAATAGTTATAACTTCTAGTCTATGTTACTCTAGGCATCGTGCTGTGCACATTACAAGCAGGAGGATCTCATGAAAACTCCCAATAATCACACAAGAAAAACATTATCATCCCAATTTACTGAGGGACAAGTGAACTTATTTTTCTATTCTGGATGTTACATTTAATAGGGAAAATGAACACTAACCAATAGTTGTTTTTAAATCAATCAACTTTGTTGTGGCAAATTTAAGGTCATTTCCTTGCTGCTAGGTTTAGCTACAACAATAAGCTCAAACATAGCAACCATTGTGGGGGTGGCTCAGGACCAGGCAGTACTTCATTCTGTGGTATACAGAGTCACCAAGTTGGGACTGACTCGACAGCACCTAACAACAACAGTAGGTTTAGCACTCTTGGAAGCAGAAAAAAGAGGGCTTATTCTCAAGGACTGTTACTGTCTCATCCTTAAGGTTCCAATCCAAATGTGATCTCCTCTGTGGAGCTTCTGTAGGCACTCTCTGAAAGTTTCTCTGCTCCACTAGAAGATAAGTTCTTGAAACAGGGACATGTCTTAATTGTTTCTACTTTTCCAACGTGTGGCACAATGCCTGGTTCAAAATAGACCTTCAGGATAAAAAAATTCTTCTGTGGAATGATTCTGACTCATGGTAACCCATATATGTCAAAGTAATAATGTACTCCATAGGGTTTTCAATGGCTGACTTTTCAGAAGTAGATCAGTAGGCTTTTCCTCTGTGGTGGGTCTAGATGGACTCAACCTCCAACCTTTAAGATACCAATTGAGCACATTAACAGTTCACACCACCAAGACTCTTTGTGTGTTGAATTCAATTCAAGATAATATTGAATTCAAGTGGGAAATTAATGTATGTTCAGCTGATTCACCTTTTCATTCTCACACTATGGTATCCTTGTGATGCAATTCTATGATAAAGGAAATTGAATTTCCTCTAGAGAAAAGAATGTAGGTTGATCTAGTCCTAGATGAAATACTGAGGCAGCTTGTTTCCCTTTTACTATTGTCTCCTTACTTGATAATGCACTTCTTTTTGTATCACATGCCTGCTCTGCCCCTAAAGTCTGCCTCTCCACCTCAAATATTTTTCTTATGTCAGCTGATTTCAACTAATCAAAGATGCTTCTCTTTAACTGCTATTTTTATTTGTCCAAGAGCAAGCACCAAAGTTTCACTCCAAAGCCTAAAGATAACAAAATTTTACAAGCGGTTGATTTCTTAATGATGACATTTCACGTGAAGTGGGTTTGGTCGAGTCTGCTTTTTGCCCCCTAACATATACAATTATTTTCTTTCCAGTATTGGGATCCCCACGTTTTCATTGGGAATAGAGCTGCCAGCCAAAGACAACATTCTCTAGCCTCCTTTGGATCTAAATGGGCCAGGTTTTCTAAGTTCTGGCTAGAGATTTAAAAGTGACTGTGGTGCATGAATTTTACAAGTCACTTCTTTAAAAAGAGCTATCACACTGTACTTCCTTTTTTCTCTTTATAAAGGCTGAAATGTGGACAGGATGGTGAAGAGCCAGTTTTGACTACGAAATTGAAGTCCTGGGTGATGGTGTGGCAACAAGCTAGCTAAGTCATTGGAAGACTCATGGAACAGAGGCATGGTACTGACTCAAAGCCATCTACCAGTTTGGACTTACATGAGAGAAATATGAATATTCAATTTCATTTAAGCCATCATTGCTTTCTGTGTTAAAGCACCCAAATAATGTCCCAGTAAATGGAGGATAACTTTTCTGAGCATGCCAAATAATACTTCATCCTAGTCTACTAGAGAAATGGATGCCAAAGTTGATAAGGCAAGTGATAAAACTTTCAGAGAATGGTCCAAGAATAAGTCACTGTGGAGTAAGCACAATTTTTAATTCCATACTTGCTCAAATAGGACCATGGTCTGTCTGACCAAACCAAACCAAACCAAACTCATCAATTCCAACTCATGGTGACCTATGTGTTATTCAAAAAAAAAAAAAAAAAAAAAAAAGTGCTGTTCCCCAGGGTTTTCTTGGCTGTAATATTTATGGAAGCAGATCATCAGGCCTTTTTCCCGCTGGGCCGCTGAGTGGATTTGAACTGCCAATCTTTGGATTAGAACTTAAACGCAAACCATTTGTGCAACCTAGGAATCCACCTTTGATAAACTTAAACCTCTTATCAGGTACCCAAGGCATCATTTAAGTGGTTTTACTGAACCCAAACCTAGTCTGATCATTTAAAAAATAGTTCACGTATATCATTAGCATTTCTTGGGAGTCTTAAACAAATTATGTTGTTGTTACATGCCCTCAAGTCGGATCCGACTCATAGTGACCCTTCCTTGGGTTTCTGAGGCGGTATCACTATGGAAGTAGATTGCCCAACCTTCCTTTCGAGGAGTGGCTGGTGGGTTTGAACCATCAGCCTTCTGGTTAGCAGTCAAGTGCCTTAGGCACTATGCTACCAGAGCTCCTTAAACAAATTAGATACGTAAAAATTTTTTGAAGTATTCTTGAATACCCAAGATGTCTTATCATATATACTCAGTAGATTTAAAAGAAAAATAAAATAATAAAATGAATTTTGTTACAACAGTGGATAATTTATGATAAATATCTACACTGATGAAAAGATTATGCTGCATCTCATTTAATTTTTTCCCTAGAAAACCACCTATTCTAGGTGTTGTTAACTTGGGGTCCACAGATGCCTAAAGGATCTGTTGATAGAACGCAGTTGCTGTGATCTTTGATGAGCAAACATCTTTATTTTCATTAATCTCCAACTGAAATTTAGCATCTCATTCAATTATGCCTATGTTGTTGTTGTTGTTATGTGCCGTCAAGTCGGCCCCGACTCATAGCGACCCCTCCTTGGGTTTCCGAGGCAGTATCACTACGGAAGTAGGATTGCCCAACCTTCCTTCCGAAGAGTGGCTGGTAGGTCAATTATGCCTATAGGCAACACCAAAATCAAAAACCAAACACGCTGCCATTGAGTCGGATCCGACTCATGGTGACCCCTCCTTGGGTTTCTGAGGCAGTATCACTATGTAAGTAGATTGTCCAACCTTCCTCCCAGATATACAAAACATCACAATGTTATTGGCAGTATTATGACTTTGTCACCCACAGAAATCATAAATATTTTCATATGTCATTATAGCTTTGCAAATATATCAAAATACCACTTACACTCATCATTATGTCAAATTACAGTAGTTATTAGAACTTGACTTAATATAAAAAGCACATATATGATCTCAAAAATTCATTTCTATTACTATTTTGATAAATGAATCTTAATGAGCTCTGTTGGTGTAGTGCGTAAGGCATTTAACTGCTAACAAGAAGTTTCGTGGTTCAAATCCACCAGCCACTCCACAGAATCTACTCCCATAAAGATTTACCACTTCAGAAACCCAAATGGGGTCACTAGGAGTTGGAATCACCTCAATGGCCGTGAGTTTGGTTTTTGGGTTTTTTTGTAATTTTATGTAGTTCAAAGGTTTATTCTGAATAATGGTCTATAGACTCTAGTAGCATAGTGGCTAAGACAGTTGCCTGCTAACCAGAGGGCTGGTGGTTCAAACCCACCAGCCACTCCTTGGAAGGAACGTTGGGCAATCCTACTTCCATAGTGATACTGCCTCGGAAACCCAAGGAGGGGTCGCTATGAGTCAGGGCCGACTCGACGGCACGTAACAACAACAACAAGAAGACATCTCTGGACTGAAAAAGGGGGTCAAGGGAACAAAAATGGTTACACTCTGAGGGATTCTGTTCATCCTACTTACATAAAGCTCCTCACACAGTGCCTGTTATACAGTAAGCTTTTAATAGCTGGTACTATAGCTTATGGAAGGAGCTCTGGTAGCATAGTGCCTAAGGCACTTGACTGCTAACCAGAAGGCTGGCGGTTCAAACCCACCAGCCCTCCTCAGAAGGAAGGTTGGGCAATCCTACTTCTGTAGTGATACTGCCTCGGAAACCCAAGGAGGGGTCGCTATGAGTCGGGTCCGACTTGACGGCACATAACAACAACAACAACAACATAGCTTATGGAAGCTTTGGTGGCATAGTGCCTAAGGCATCTGACTGCTAATCAGAAGGCTGGTGGTTCAAACCCACCAGCCACTCCCCAGAAGAAAGGTTGGGCAATCTACTTCTGTAGTGATATCGCCTAGGAAACCCAAGGAGGGGTTACTATGAGTCAGACCTGACTCCATGGCAGTGGGTTTGGTTACTATAGCTTATAGTTTACAGTTCCCATTATATTTTGTCCACCAGCTACTCCTCAGAAGGAAAATGGGGCAATCTACTTCCATAGTGATATTGCCTTGGAAACCCAAGGAGGGGTCACTATGAGTCGCATCTGACTCAACGGCACATAACAACAACAACATAATATTTTGTGACCTGCCAGAATATGGCTAAGTTACAGAAGCATCTTTTGTCCTTTTTTGGATAAAGAACACTGTATTACAAATGCTAATCATTTCACTTACTTGCAGAGATCATTAACACAGCTGGCAATATATAAATATGGATCAATATATTCATGGCAGCTGAGAAAAGGAAACTGCAACAGAATCTGACACTTGAAGAAGATGGCCTGTGCAGAAAAAAATGTCAGTCACCAGAATATATTTAATGATATGTGTATACTCTCATTTTCCTTACTGACCTATTTACAGCATTCTTAGTTCTTACCAGAAAGGAGAGGGTAATTTTTTTTTCTTACAAATGTCAACTAATAGTTTTCTATCTATGTATTTTCATAATTAGCACTGCTTTTGTGAGCTAATTACATTCACTGTTTCTGTAATAACTTTAAGGTTATTCTCTGCTGCAATTACATTTCTAAGATTTAATAGTTTGGAATTATGTTGAGTTTGCAATAAAAATGCTTAATGGTAACTATACAAATAGTATATATGTTTGTGTTATGTTCAATATGCCAATTTTACATCAAACTTACCTCAAATGCTGGCATTCCACTTGAACATGGACTCGGAAAATCTGAGGGTGTGGGGACACATTTGGCGTCATCGGGAGTTTGCACCACCCAATAACTTGCAAACAGAGCAATGTCTTCTGTGTAGTCCTCTATTTCACATAAGCACACACACACACACACAAACACACACAAAATAGGTGTAAGAGTATTATTTTCCAAACATAAATATAGTTCTACAGCATGAACCTTCTAATCAGAAAGAGAAACTCAGTAACTTTATAATTAACAAATGATATTAGGCTATAATATCACTTTGACATAATAAAATTATATCGAACAAAATGTAAGTACCACACCAAGTCAAATCCGACTCATAGCAACCCCTCCACATCACTATGGAAGTAGAGTGCCCAATCTTCCTTCCAAGGAGTGGCTGGTGGGTTTGAGCCCCCAGCCTTCTGGTTAGTAGTCAAACGCCTTAGGCACTACACCACCAGAGCTCCCAGATACAACATAAACACTGGTAAATTTCAAGTCTGCCAACACAGAATTTATGTTGGAGAAAAGAGGGAAAATAAGCACAAAGCCAAGAAACACAGGTGAAAAACAGGTGTAAATTATCTGAAGCAGCCCTCTCATTGAACTGCACATTTTTCAGAACCTTACTAAAATCCCAGTTCCATTTTTGAGTCCTCTACAAGAAAAACTATCTTTGTTGAACCCTTGAAGAGATTTCAGAGGCCAGTCACACAGATGATCAAAGAAAAACTACAAAAGAGAAAACTAAGAAGTGAATACATCTCATCTGAATATGGAACAATTTTTCTAAATATGCTGAAGACAAGGCCCAAATATTAAGAATCATGAATCTTATCCCAACATTACTCAGAGTAATATGCAGGCAGCAACTAACAGATGGTTGACGGTGAGCTTGCTGAACTCTAGGCTCCATATCAAGTTTAACTTGTCTTAGCAGTTGGCCTCTCAGACAAGTTCAGGACCTGACATGGTAATTAATCCTGCCCCAGATTGAGACAAAGGTTGAATCTCAAATCTCTAGAACTTGGCTCAGTCAAACAAGATGGCATCTCACAGTTCTATCTAAGCCACTTAGTCTTCTGATTTGTGCTTCAGGTTCTCCACCACACAGATTTACATGACCATAAAGTCTACCACTGATGATAATCCACGGCACCACTAGAATCAAATATCTCCACACCACCTGTGAATGCCTGACTTTCTTCTCAAACCATAGGTTTCTCCATACACTCTTAGAATCTTCAAGATGGGAAGATAATGTCTGCCCACTACCACCCATCATTGAGAACATTGTAGTTATCTGTTACAATAAAATTATATCGAACAAAGTATAAGTACCAAATAAAACTAGACAATTGGAGAGAAAAAGTAAACCTCAATGAGTTAAGATGAGGAAGGACTCAATGTGAGCAGATACAACATAAAACAAACCAAACTCATTGCCATTGAGTCAAATCTGACTCAAAGCAACCCCTCCGTATCACTATGGAAGTAGATTGTCCAATCTTCCTTCCAAGGAGTGGCTGGTGGGTATAAAATCCCAAACTTTACTAGTCTGAAAGGTTCTGGCCCCTGCATACTCCCACCATCTGTTACTTCTCTTCTTGTTCAGTCTGCTCTGGTCATTCTGCCTTTATGCTGTTCTTCAACTACCCAAGTTCATTCCTAAAACCAGTTGCTGTCAAGTTGTCCCAAACTCATGGCAAATCCGTATGTGTCCATGGGTTCTCAAAGGCTGATTTTTTTTTTTTTTTTTAAAGTAGATTCCCAGGCCTTTCTTCCAAGGCAAACTGAGTAGACCCAAACTTCTAACCTTTCAGCTTGCAGCCTGTGTGTTCAAGGTCTGTACCACCCAGGAATTCCAAGCTCATGCCTATCAAAGGGCATTTATCTTGCTCCTCTTCCTTCAAAACACTCTTCTCTCAAAGCTTCCCATGGCTCCCTTCCTCATTTCATTGAGGCAATCTGCTCAGTGTGACTAGCTCAGAGGGGCCTCTCTGCCACAGGATCTAGACTGCCACCAACCACACATTGCTCTATTATTGTTTATCTCTTTCCTCACTTTGCTTTTTTAATGGCTATCAATACCCAGTAAAGTTGTATTTTATTTTTTTGCTTCTTTATTTGTTTTGTCCTTCACTACATTATACACAACATGGAGGGAGGGAGCTTGTCTAAATTGTTCTATTGTTTGATCCTTAGTTTAGTGCCTGGAGTCTAGTCGGTGCTCAAAATGCATTTTTTAAATAAGTTAGTGAATAAATACAGAAAAGTTTTCAATATTCATTAGATAGATTATTAGCATCATAGAGCTTTCAAATGTGTTTGGCCCATTTTTTTCATTATCTCAGACATTGATGAAAAGGTTACACGTTGAACCAGTCCTGAGTCTGATCTAACATACTTACTTAGAAGTACTTTTAGAGTAAATTTAGTAATCACATTTTATTTCAATGCATTATCATTTTTTAAAAGTCTGAAGAACCTAAAATATTTCCTAAACATCCACTTGTTTCAATATCTATGGCCAGATTTTAGTGTTACTAAGCAATAATGCCAATCCCTTGGAATTGATATTAATTCCAGCTTTGGAACCATATATTTTGCTGTTTTTACTATGTTGTATAAATAAGAGTCACCAAAGTTTTTAATTATTGTGAGAACTTAAATAAATACCACCTAGCTGTCTAGATTCTACTAAACTTAAGTTAGAATGCTTTTTATAAAACATGCGATGCCTGCGGTACTCTATTGTCCATATTGGGACACTTTTGAAAGTCAAGGGAGATAGTTCTGCTGGAAAACCAAGAGTAAACCAGGATTTGTATGTTGCTGTGTAGCTAAGTGTAGACATGAATTATGGACCTAGAATTCTCAACTAGAAAACAAAGTAAAATCTTTCTATAGTCCCAGAAATTCTGAAAAGGCTCATTTCTTTGTGAAGTCATCCTTGAAGAATGAGACACTATGCACAGGAAAACACAATTTTAATCACTGATAAAGTATGCATTCAATCACACTAACTGCCACACAGATTTATATAATCAGCAAATTACAAAATAAGTTTCAAGAAAATACTAGGCTTCTTCAAGAGAAAGGTAATATGGCTTATCTGTAGACATTTTCTTGCATGATGGCAGTGTGGCAGACAATCAGAGGACAAGTTCTGCTCACATTAATAGTTGTTATAAATTAGAATTTTTTACTATTCTACCTTGCACTGTGTACCAAAAAAATTATGAAGAGCTGAAATATCTCGTTAAGAGTTTTCCCAGATATTTCTGACTTGCTCAATTGCCTCCTGCCATTCTCCCCAACTTATAATACGTTAAATATTCATGACTTAAAATGAATAGCTAGATTCATCATTGCACATCATAAAAGCTTTCAAATTACTATTCAATGTGTATAATCTTGCTCACATTTCATTATTTTTATTTATAAAAGTTTTATTTTTCAGTCATTTAATTTACTCTTATAAAGACTATATGCAAAACAACTTTTATCTAAAAGACATATTTGCACCCAAATGGATTTGATTCACTAGAAGACAAGCTCCTTGAGGGCAGGGATCTTTGTTTCATTCACAGATGTCTCCGGTTCCCACAACAGTGCCCTGCGTGAAATAAATGCTCAACTAATATTTGTAATGTAAGTGAATTCTGTATCTTCCTTTAGCATATGTAAACTAGCTCCTGTTTTTCAAAAATGACACAAAAAATGCTTTCCTATTTTACACTTCACTTAAAATCATTAAAGTTGGCAAGTGACTAAGTTTACCGAACCAAGGACAAGTGTTTCAGGTGCAAACAGCTTGAGCAGTAAAGAAGACTTTAGAAAGTACCTACGTATGTCTGTTCTAAGGAGCTCTGGTAGCGTAGTGCCTAAGGCACTTGACTGCTAACCAGAAGGCTGGCGGTTCAAACCCACCAGCCACTCCTCGGAAGGAAGGTTGGGCATTCCTACTTCTGTAGTGATACTGCCTTGGAAACCCAAGGAGGGGTCGCTATGAGTCAGGCCGACTCGATGGCAAATAACAACAAAAACATGTCTGTTCTAATTACTTACCATGCTGAATTATGAAATCATCAGATTGAAGGTCATTGTAGTTTCCACATAGGCCACATGATTTCCCTTTATGCTCCCCAGACAGTTTGAGGTAAATTCCAGATATTCCATCCCAAGCCAATGAAAAACCAAAAGTTGTTTTCACCAGAATGTAGTCAGCTAGTTTCTCAATGAAAACATGTCCAATTGTCTGAGGCAATGTTAAACTTGAAAAACAGAACAAAGATAATCTAAGAATTTATTAACTGCTAATCAATTGCAGATGATCAACGTTTTCAAAGAGCGACTGACATAACTGAATAAAATAGAATTATCCCTCAAAATTATGGCTCTCCCAAGTACCAAACCTGTAGGATATCTCCACACTTTCGAAACATTCAACATAGAAGTAAAACAAAACAAAACAAAACAAAAAAAGATACCTGTTTCCCATACTGATTTAAATTTTATATTTAAAATTGAATGCTTATTTCAACTAACCAAATATACACAGATGCTAAATATCAGTGATTGTTGATTCTGGAAAATAAGCCTGTCTATTTAGAATAATGAGGGCTGAAATGCAATTATTCTTTATCTAGAGAGATAAAATCCAAAAATGCTCAACAATTTTGAAATAAGGATAAACAGTGGTCGAAATACACAAGTACAATGCTCAAGTTCTGATTTTGTTTAATTTTATTTTAAACTTGGCTGTGAGAAAGTAGCAACTTTCATCTCCAAAATGTCACCTTGGAATAAGTCATTATTGCCCAAAAGAAAAATATCTAGGAATGATTTATTATAATTTTCATTTGTTTAATGTTGTAAAGTATAAAAGACATTATTAGGGTTATAAAGTACTTCATCACACAGTATCTTACAGTGCTTATCTTCATAATTTTTAAATGGGATACATTTTGGCCTATTTAAACAAGAGGCATGGAGAATATTCACACACCTGATTCACTGTCTATTCTTTCCATCTTTTAAAAGCTTGTGTGCATACAAAGGAAGAGAGAGACACAGGAATCTGAAGAAAATTAATCAACTGGACATTTTAAAAATAAGGTAAGTCACATAGAATACTGTTCAAAAAACACTGCTCTCCTTTATTCATGAACATTGCAAAAAAGGTAACCTGATAATAATTCAAGAGACGGGGGAAAAACCATTTTTCTTAAGTTGACTGTGCTACGTGATAATTATTAACTATAATTGAGTTAGGAGGGAGGTTAATAGACATATTCACACATAGCTTTCAAAACTGCAACCTGGGAAGATATCTCACCACCATCAAAAAAGAGCAGCCAGGAGTGGAGTGCAAACTTGGACTCGAGATTCCTAAGCAGAGATGCCAAAGAGATGGCAGGGAGATACTGGCAGCAGAAGCAGCAGAACAAAGAAACCAGCATGAGACGGAGCAGTGGGCTTGGTGGCCCACAGAGGAAGAAAGCTGAGTACCATCGGGCTGGAGGCTTGCTGGCAGAGGGGGCTGCGCCTATTAGCAGTGTTAAAAGAACTTTGTGACACTTGCCAGAGCAGGACAGAGGCCAGGCGGAGAAGCTGAAGGTCAAAGAAAGGCATGCCTACAGGCATAGCCTGGGGGAAACTGTCCTGATTGAAGAATTGTGTCTAAGTTTTCCTGAACCTGAAATGTAACCTGTTGCTTCCTTAATAAACCCCATAATTGTGAGGGGGGTGGAAATTGCAGTCTAGTGAATCCTTTCCAGGAAGAGCACAGCTACATGGAACAAAACCTATAAAACTAAACGTATTTTCTGTCAGAGAGATAGTCTCCAAAGAAACAACTCAATATACCTGTAACTATTTGCACACAGATGTTCACAGGTAATTCTTGGTAGCAAATTATCTATAAAAGCAGGAAAGTTTTAAATTGGAGAATAAATAAGACTCTAGCTTACTAGTGCCATAATATATGGTGACTAAAAAGATAAATATGATGAATTCATAGTAAAAGTCAGTATGAAATAATATTGAAGAAATATCACTTATTTTGTGTTTTCAAGTTTACACAGACAATGTCGGATTATAGTAGGAAAAAAAGGAGTCAAGTTTATAAATAAAACATTCATAATATAAAAATAAATACATTCATAGTCATGGAATGTTAATTGAATGAAAGTATAGTTTTTCTGTTGTGGATTTTTGTTTGGCCATTTGTTCACATTCACAGTAAACTTGATTAAATACACAATTTCTCAAAAGAAAGCTAACTACCTTGAAGTTATTTATCTTCAAGTGCATAATACAGAAGGATGGCAGAGGAGGTGAGTGGCAATACACCTAACGAACTAACTAACTCACTGCCGTCAAGCATATTTGGACTCCTAGCAACCTCTATCGGGTTTCCAAGGCTGTAAAATGTTGATGGAAGCAGACTGCCTCATCTTTCTTCTGCAGAGCAGCTTACGGGTTTGAACCACCAACCTTTTGATTAGCAGCCAAATGCCTTAACCACTACAGCACCAGAGCTCAATAGTACATCCACTCTTCACTTCACCTCATTATCCAAAATTTCACATTCATGATTATAGTAAAAAATCTACTATCCAACTATTTTGTGCATTAATGACATACATCTGGCAGTAATGAATGAGGTGTAAGGCAAGAGTAACGTCGGCTGTGATGGTTGAAGTTACGTGTGAACTTGACTGAGGCATGATTCTCAGTGGTTTGTCAGTTAAGTAATGATGAAATTTGGCAGTTATATAATGATGTAGTCATCCTCCATTTTGTGATCTGATGAGGTCATCCTCCATTTTTATATAATACTGATTTTCTCATAGTGACCTGGCTTTGGAACCTAACCATGTTGATTAGTGAGGAGAGGATGTAATTAAAAGTGGGTAATCTCCAGTATGGCTAAGAAAAATTTCATGCAACCTAGGAATGAAACATTAAAAATATAAGCTAACATTTCCTTAGCACCTGCTTAAAGTTAGGCCCTAGGCCAGAAACACCATTAGTATAAGCAACTTAGCTAAAAAATAATCATCTTCTTTCTGTAATAAATCTGGAAATCCCCAATGAAATGCTTTATCTAAGTTAAAATTAATATTATGGCTTTGATTTTAAAAGTTAATATTCTTTAAAAAAAGCTATTTGACAGATATTTCTGCTTTACAAAATATAATAATTTTTAAGCTCCTATATATTACCTAGGAGCTCTGGTGACATAGTGCCTAAGGCATTTGACTGCTAACCAGAAGGCTGTTGGTTCAAACCCACCAGCCACTCCTCAGAAGGAAGATGGGGCAATCTACTTCCATAGTGATACTGCTTCGGAAACCCAAGGAGAGGTCACTGTAAGTTGGACCTGACTCAACAGCAGTGAGTTTGGTTTTTTGGTTTTTATATATTACTTAAAATCCCATATAAAGAATAATAAAATACTATTTAAATTCAGCTCCAGGAAAAACATATGAAAATACACTACATTACTGTTCAAATGACGAAACTTTATTTTAGTAGAAAATAAATATAGAACCCAATTGATTAATAGATTAAGCCCCCAGGATGCAGGGACTGCTCTGCATTTCCTGACTGTGTCAAAACCTGGATTAGGGCCTGGCTCTCCTGGTGTTTACTCCAAAAGCCTTTCTTCTACCACCTGATGCCTCTGAAGAATATAAAGTGAGAAAAAAAAAAATCTTGTATTGGTAAGGCCTTTGCACTGGAAAGAAAACTCATGGTTCAAACACTTGAGAGTAAATTCTCAACAAATTTACTTTTTCTGACATAATTCAGCCACATAATATTGAAAAGTGAGTATCTCTCTACAAATATTTAGACTGATAAGTAAACTGTTCCACAATATTCCTATTTAAGATATATAAAGCCTTCTGTCAAATAAACAAGCATCCTCTTCCCCAAAACTCTCAGGTTATGTCTTCGGCAGATAGGAAGCTGGGAAGCAGGCTTTTCTGATCCCACATCGGAAGGCCAGTTGTTCACTGCCTTTGAGTCCGTCTCAGAGCACTAATGGAAAATCTCAACTGGAATCCAAACCTCATCCACACAGATTAGAAACGGATTTCCAGAGAGTTACTTTTCTTTTAAGTTCCTATTTAAGGATAGAAAGAAAGAAGGGAAGGAGGGACAAAAGAGAGGAAGGGATGAGAGAAGAGGGCAAAAATAATCAGAGTTGAAGTAGGAAGATTTCCTCCAGTCTCTCTTAGAAAAAGATGTGACAGTCCAATCTCCACTTATGGAAACATATTTGTATCTTACACAAGCATTGGGGATATTAAATTTGTTAAATTTTTGGCCACTTGGTTGGTCTCAGAGCCTACCAAAATTCTAGTGCCTGTGTGATATAATTTCAAGGTTACTATTGAAGAATAAACCTCTCTTCCTATTCTGGACACTTCACTTCCAGTGTGAGATGTTTGAAAATTCAGTTAGCCCATATTGTTTTGTTGTTGTTGTTATATCATTATCATATCTTACCTGAGTCCATTCTTTTTTATATCATGACCATAAATTCGAATTTCCTCTTGGTTTGAAAAGAACAAGCTGATTGACCGATAACAAGAGTACACTGAACCAAGGCATTTAGGGCTATTATGAACCTTAAAAGGAGGAAGAAAAGGATGTATAATATATCTTCAACTGAGTTACTGAAACACAATATATGTTTGCAGTTCTATAGCATAATTAGTCCCACGAAACTTTACAAAATTATCTGTAACTACATTTAGGATTTGCTTACATTACTAATGGAAAGTTTTTAACCAAAGGAAAAAATACTGCTTCTAATGAAGATGGCAAAATGAATTGAGAGAATAGAAATACTTAGTTCATAAATTGGACAATAGAATTGATTTCATAAAACACAAATTAATTTATCATATTTTTAAAACATTGTCTCTTCACATGTTAGAGGTTAACATTCTAAACCTATGTGGTATGTAGTGGAAAAATTAGATCTAATAAGAAAACTGCAGAGACCCACAAAGAAACATATTTTTAATTTCAATATTCATATTTTTCATATGTTAGAGAATCATGAAATAGAGCTTAAAATGGATCTCTATTCAAAACAGCATTTGGAGGTTGCAAAAGTGACTGTAGCTTACTAAAAATAAAATTGCCCAGACAATTTTGGGGAAGACAGAGATTATTTCTCAAAAGTAGATGGAAAAAATTGTTTACTAGTAAAACAAAAAAAGAAAGTAAGAACGAAAAGAGAAAGAGAGAAGAAGAGAAAGGAAGAGAGTATAATGAGAAAATGCATGTTAGATTCTGATACGCTAAACCAAATTGAGGTAACACTGGATGATGTGAATAGATAAATGCTGGACTGCTAGCCAAAAGGTTGGGGTTTCAAATCCACCCAGAAGCTCCTTGTAAGAAAGGTCACATAGCCTTGAAAACTGTATGGAGCATTTCTACTTTGTACAGATGAGGTCACCACGAGTCACAATCAATTTGAGAGCAACTAACAAGAACAATAACAAAACAAATTTAATTTCAGATGGACCAAAAAAGTAAAATGTAATGGTAAAACCATAAAATAACTAAAAGAAGATATTGATACCTATTTAGCAGGGAAACAACTTTCTAAGCATATAAGTGATAGGAAAATTAATCAATTATAGGATAGACTTTTGTGAAAAATGTAATGGATATTCATTTCATGTTTAATCAACAAATATTTATTGGGCACTTCTTATGTATCAAACATTATTCTAGTTTCTGGGAATATAAAACCCACTAAACAAACAAAAATCTTCCCCTTATGGAACTTAGAGTCTATTAGAGGAAGATAGTTAATATAACTTAAATGCATACTTTATCATATGATAAAAGCCATGAAGAATATTTGGAGGTAAAGAGGATAAAGAATGTGTCAAAAGTTGGACAGAATTTTAGATTGACTGATCAAGAAAGACCTCACTTAGAAGATGACATTTTAGTAAAGATGAAGGAGATGACAGAGCTTGCCATATGGATATCTTAGAAAAGACCATTCCAGATCAATGGAATGGAAGGTTCAAAAGCTTCAGGTGGGAACATGTCTAAAATGTTTGCAGTGTCCAGACATCTAAGCATCTGATCACAGACAGGAAAATGAGGGATTCTTCTTTGAAGAAACAAAATGACTCTAGAGAAAAGACATGTAGATATTAATATTTGAGGCTTTACTAATAAAACCAGAGTCTCTCTCCTCAATCTCCCACAAGACAAGCTCAAATCATATGTTTATTTCTTCTAATCAGCTTTTATGGGCTCTGGTGGTACAGTGATTAAAGCATTTTGCTGCCAACTATAAGGTTGGTGGTTTAAACCCACAAGCTGCTCCACAAGAGAAAGAAGAGGTAGTCTGTAAAGATTTGCAGCCTTGGAAACCCTATGAGACAGTTCTACTCTGTAGTATAGAATCACTATGGGTTGGAATCCACCACTTGTCTGTCAGTATGTTGTACTGTGGTGGCTTGCATGTTGCTGAGGCTGGAGGCTATGACACCAGTATTTCAAATACCAGCAGGGTCATCCATGGTGAACAGGTTTCAGCAGAGTTTCTTTGACTAAGACAGACCCTGAAGAAGGAAGGGGCCAACCACTTCACAAAGAATTGGCCAGTGAAAATCTTAGGAATAGGAGTGAAACATTGTGTGATATATTACTGGAAAATATTGTGAATAGCCCTAAAACCTTGTCTAATATGTGGTTGTTGTTGTTATGTGCCGTTGAGTCGGCCCCGACTCATAGCGACCCCTCCTTGGGTTTCCGAGGCAGTATCACTACGGAAGTAGGATTGCCCAACCTTCCTTCTGAGGAGTGGCTGGTGGGTTTGAACCACCAGCCATCTGGTTAGCAGGCAAGTGTCTTAGCCACTATGCTACCAGAGCTCCCAATATAGTGCTGGAATATTAAGACTCTCATGTCAGAAGGTACTCCAAATACAACTGGGGAAGAGCTGGTCCACAGAGTAAAGTCGACCTTAATGATATAGATGGAGTAAAGCTTTCAAAAATCAGAGGAATTGTGGGATGACATCAAGAACATCATTCATGAAGAAAGCATAGTCATTAAAAAGACAGGAAAGGAAGAAAAGACCAAAATGGTTATCAGAAGAGACTCTGAAACTTGCTCTTGAACAGAGATCAGCTGAAGCAAATGGAAGAAATGCTAGCATAAAAGAGCTGAACAGAAGATTCCAAAGAGCAGCTCGAGAAGACATAGTCAATTACTGTCATGAAATGTGCAAACACCTGGAGTTAGAAAACCAAAAGGGAAGAACATTCTCAGCATTTCTCAAGCTGAAAGAATTGAAGAAAAAATTCAAGCCTCGAGTTGCAATATTGAATGATTCTAAGGGCAAAATATTGAATGATGCAGGAAACGTCAAAAGAAAATGGAAGAAATACACAAAGTCACTGTACTGAAAAGAAGTGGCCGATGTTTATCCATTTCACAAGGTGGCATATGATCAAGAACCAATGGTATTGAAGGAAGAAGTTAAAGTTGCACTGAAGAAATTGGTGAAAAAATAAGGCTCCCAGAATTAACAGAATACCCATTGAGATGTTTCAACAAATGGATATTACATTGGAGGCACTCATTTGTCTATGCCAAGAAATTTGGAAGACAGCTATCTGGCCAATTGACTGGAATAGGTCCATATTTGTACACATCCCAAAGAAAGGTAATCCAACAGAAGGTGGATATTATTGAACAACATCATTAATATACCCAATAAAAATCCTGCTGAAGAAAATTCAAAAATGGTTGCAGCAGCATATTGACAGAGATTTCCAGAAATGTAAGCTGGATTCAGAAGCGGATGTGGACAAGGGATATCACTGCTGATGTCAGATGGATCTTAGCTCAAAGCAAGGAATGCTAGAAAGATGTTCACTTGTATTTTATTGAGTATGCAAAAACATTTGATTGTGGAGATCATAACAAATTATGGATAACATTGAGAAGAATGGGAATTCCAGAAAAAATTGTGCTCATGAGGAACATGTACATAGACCATGAGGCTATCACTCGAACAGAACAAGGGGATAGTGTATGGTTTAAGAGAGGGTGTCAGGGTTATATCCTTTCACCATACTTATCTAATCTGTATGCTGACCAAATAACTCAAGAAGCTAGACTATATAAAGAGTGTAGAATCGGGATTGGAGGAAGACTCGTTAACAACCTGCGATATGCAAATGACACAACTTTGCTTGCTGAAAGTGAAGATGATTTGAAGCACTTACTGGTGAAGATTAAAGACTATAGTCTGACATATGGATTACACCTCAACATAAAACAAAAATCCTCACAACTGGGCTAATAAACAACATCACGATAAATGAAGAAAAGATTGAAGTTGTCAAAGATTTCATATTACTTGTTTCCACACTCAACACCAATGGAAGCAGTAGTAAAGAAATCAGATGGCATATTACACTGGGCAAATCTGCTTCAGAGGACCTCTTTAAAGTGCTGAAGAGCAAAGATGTCTCCTTGAAGACTAAGGTGTACCTAACCCAAGCCATGGTATTTTCAATTGCCTCATATGCATGTGAGAAATGGACAATGAATAAAAAAGACTGAAGAAGAGTTGATGCTTTTGAATTGTGTTGGTGAAGATTACTGAAAATACCATGGACTGCCAAAAGAACAAACAAATCTGTCCTGGAAGAAGTGCAGCTGGAATCCTCCTTAGAAGCAAGAATGGCCAGACTTCATCTCACCTACTATGGTCATGTTTTCAGAAAGGAACATTCTCCGGAAAGGAATATCATGGTTGGTAAAGTGGAGGGTTGACAAGAAAGAGAAATGCCCTCAAGAAGGTGGATTGACACAGTGGCTGCAATGACGGGCTCAGGTATAGCAAGGATTGTGAGGCTGGCACAAGACAGGGCAGTGTTTCATTCTGTTGTAAAAAGGGTTGCTATGAGTCGGAGCCAACTTGACAGCACCTAACAATAACATGAGTTGGAATTGACTCATAGGTTAATCAGCTTTTAGAGCCTAACTCACAAATGTTAGCAAGCATTCAAGAATCATTAGGCATTTGATGAAAGTCTGAAACATAAAAGGCAAACACCAAACAAACCAACCAAAGAAAAGAAATCAAAAGAACCAAAAAAAAATACAGGAAGCTGAAGACACTTCCAAAAGTGCATAGTCAGTACCTTCAGAGAGAAAAGTGATTATATTCCTGAGGGAAAAAATAATATGGTGTTAAAAATGGAATTCAAGGACTAAAATTAAACTATTGAACACTGGCAATATTATAAGATAAACATAACAGAAATAGAAATGTTGGAAGATAAATAACTTAAAGTCAAAAAGATGTCTCCTGAAACATCAGATAAGAAGCAAAAAGATAGAAAACACATAAGAATCAACAGAATATTAAAAGATAAATCATTCAGTGTAGGAATTCTAATATCTGAATTCCTGAATTACAGAATTTCTGAAAGATAGGAGAGCAGTAATTAAGAAATAATTAATATATTATTCCAGAAATTAAATACTTGTAAAGCTTGACAGGGTCCATCAAATGTCCAGAACATTAAATGGGAGAGGGGGACATAATCATGATGTCTCAGAATACCAGGGACAAAGGAAAGATCTGTAAGCTTCCAGAGAAAGAGACAGTTAAATGCTGTATGCAAAAAGGATCAGAAATCAAAATGGATTGGCCTTCAAAATTCTGATAAAATGTGCTTTCCAAATTTCGGAAACAAAATCCACCATACCAAAGAAGGCCAAGTAGAAATAATGTCTATTAATCCTGGAAGCACAGCTCAGCATTACGTCTTATTATCAAAGGACAGATTATGTAGTTGACACCTCAGTTTTCAAAAAGGTGAGACACTGGACAAGAACATTTCAATGAGGGCATCAGAGAGTACTGAGTGATAAAACCAGCAAGAAAGTGAGGAAGTATAAGAGAATGAGGTAACTGAGAACAGGAAACCTGTAAGCACTGAAGACTCATTTTACTAACTTCCTGTCTAGAAGGGCCACTAATTTTGTATCCTTTTGTTCCAACTTCCTTTATACCTCATGTTCTTTCTGGGTCACAAGGATTTGTTGCCCTTAAAGAGCTTCCAGGCCTGCTTTAATATTTGCATTGCCCAGAAAGGAGGAGAATTTTAGCTACTCCAACATAAATTAGAAAGAGAAAAGAAAACAGAGATTCAAACAAATCATAGCTATGGAGAGTTTTAGCATTTGAACAGGACAGCACAGTGGCTTCCTGGTTGTACTTTGAGATGTCCAGCAATTCAGGGGAAGATGGTGATCAAGGAAAAATGTCCTGACTCAACGACTTCAACTAGAGCAGCTTTGCAGTTTGCATTTTGAGATATCTCCTAAGGGTTCTTTTGAATCAAGCATCTACAACTAAAAACTAAAGACCAAGAAATTCAATCCTATAATATCAATCTATCTAGAATTAGCTTCCTATTGCCATATCCTACAGCCTGTACTTAAGTCATTCCTATACTCCATTTCATGAATGACAGCCTTTTTTTGACATCAGTGATAAACACTTTTCTGCATTACTGATAAGTCCTTGCCATATCCAAATTCTATCTCTGGCAGCTCCAGGTCTCATCTTGATGTAACTATACTCAATCCAGCCACAAAGTGGCATTATCCCATTAAGTACCAACCTCTTTCCTTTCACTGTGAGGGCCCTGAGTATTCATACTATGATGATTATATTTTTTCCATCATTTGTTCAATGATTTAAAAATACACTTTTTCAGGAAAAAAAAATTATGTTAATTGTTTTCTAGGATCACCTACCCATACAGTATACTGAGGCTCCAAATTATCACAGTCCTTTGCAAAAATGTATGAACAGTTTCCTGGGAAATAATAGTAGATTCCATCAAATGTTTCAAAGTGGTACTGTCCCCAGGTTTTACAAATTCCATCTCTGCCATTGCCCATGTTTGGGACTGAAAAGAAATGGGGTAATATTCAGTAGAATAAAATCAGTTATATGTGTTTCTGGAAAGATTCAGGCATGGTAGGTTATTCCAGTTTCCATTAAAATAAATATTTTCCTTCTTTGATAGTCTACATCAAGGAAGAACGTAATAACACATAAATAAAATTACCAGTTTCTCTCAAAATTATAAAATTCCCTTGAAGAAAAACAAGGTCTCCAAGTTGTTACGAAGAAAGAAACTAAGTTAGCAACTCCCTTAATGTTTGCTCCCAAAGGAAGAATAGGGAAAATGATACAGCAAAAGAAGGTGGTAGGTATAAAGCAAATATAGTGGCTCAAAAAGAAAGAAATGTCCTTAAATTAGCATAGACAGCATTAGAGTGTTTCAGCACAATTCATTCAGGATTGTCCTATGGCATTCACAGAGAAAAATAACCACTGACAAAAACTCATGAATAAAGTCTGGGACTGCAAATGGGGAGCATTAGTCATCCAAACTATGCAGAAATTTAGGAATTCATGACTTCAAACCTTGGTCAAATTTCAAGCAATGTTCATCTTAAATCAAATAATTTCATATCCCATTGCCATCATGCTATGGCTCTTCTTACCCTTGTGGACAGCCCTCTATTTCATTTTTATTTGTTTTTTTATTGCTATTTTTATTTAGAATAATATGAAAATCAATAACAGTGAGTACTTAACATGGGCAAAATGTTTTTATATGCTCTGTGGGGAAGCATAAATATAATCAAGATACAATCTTTCTGTCATTTTGTAATTTTTTATCTAAATTACTTGGCCTTGGCCAATTTTGTCCTTTTTGGGAAAAAAACAGAATTATTCATTCTTTAGACAGTCTTACCTGACAGCACCCCTACAACTATTGCATATTTTCATAGCACCTTAAATTTTCCTTTATAGCACATTTCATAAGTATTATTTGTGTGGTTAGTCCCACCTCTACACTGTAATTTCCAGAAGGGCGAGAATATGTCTGTCTTGTTCATCATTTTTTCCTCAGTGCCTAGTCTGAGATCTAGTAGAGGCTCAGTATATACTCATTAAACAAAAGAACAAATGAACAATGAATTGAAGAGTCACTGTCCTTGAGGAGTTCTCAACACTATTTCCATTTATGGACAGAATGCTAATTAATACAAAGTGAAAAAAAGAATGAACAGTTCCAAATAAGAAATCTAATTTATAAAGCAAAGGAGAAATGAATGTTGTTGTTGTAATATGCCATTGAGTCAATTTCGACTCATAGCGACCCCTCCTTGGGTTTCCGAGGCAGTATCACTATGGAAGTAGATTGCCCCATCTTCCTTCCAAACAGTAGCTGGTGGGTTTGAACTGCCAGCCTTCTGGTTAGCAGTCAAGTGCCTTAGATACTAGCTACCAGAGCTCCTGGAGAGATGAATAGGAAGCTGGTTTTAGGACTCCCTGGGTGATACAAACAGGTAATACTCTCAGCTGCTAACCAAAAGGTCAGAGGTTTGACTCCATCCAGACATGCCTCAAAAGAAAGGCCTGGCAATCTACTTTAGAGAAATCAGTCTTTGGCAATCCCACAGAGCACAGTTCTGCTCTGACACACATGCGTTGTTGCCATGAGTCAGAATCAACTCAGTGGTAACTAGTTAAAAAAAAATCAAAGTAATTAAGGAAATTAAAAAATAGAGACCTGTCAGACAAGGAAGTAGGCATTGTTTCTTTTATATTGTTGAATCACCTCAAATTACTGAGAATGAACTGTATGCATTCTAGCTAATATACTACATGATTGTCTCAACTCTCAATGCATGTGCACAACCAACACAATTTATGCCATAAGGTTCTCCTCTTTATCTCTTAATTTTCTCATGAGTACCCCTGAAACTTACTAATCTGGCACCTTGTCCCAAGCGCCTGAAATATTTGACAGTCGCATACACCAGTCTTAGAACAGAAAGCTCCGTTAAGGCATTCATGAGGACAAGAACCTGCAGGACAGAAAAATAAGTTATATGCTGGCATGCATCAGTTCTTATAAACATAATATATCAGGATTTAGCTTGGACTAATCATAACCACTGTTAACTCAGACAGAAACCTGGGCTTCTTGCCTCAACAAGCTGAAGAATTAAACCCATCAAGTCTCTAGATCATTTCATTATGTGTGCTGTGAAGCAAAGAAGATAGTCTTTCACATCTCAAACTACTGCGAGAGCAAAGGTTAGCCTCCTTCAAGCAATTGAAAGGTCAAGTTCCCATGTAAGGAATCCCTGTCCCAGATGATGAGAACCAGAAATACACAAGCTGCAGAGGATTCTGTTGACAGAGTTTGGCAGTAGCTGCACATCCGTTTACCTCCTTCTCCAAAAGCAAGTGCTGCACTGAAAGAATAGCTTCTATCATTAGCTCAAGGGGTCAGGCAAAGCATAAAAATCAAAAGGGAAGTTTGCTTTCGAGAAGGATTAAACATTTCACTTGAGGTTGTGTATTAATCCTCAGGCTCAATTATAAATGATGCATGCTTAATTTTGATGAGGCAGAAGCCAAAGTCACTGCTAGCTGTCCTCAAAAACATTCTCTTTCATGGGGTGGGGGGGGAATCACCCTAAAGGATTATGTTAAAAAGAGGAAGCAAGTAACTGTGAGCTATCACCCTAACTTTGCCATTATCTCCTGAGTGAGCTTGAAAAACGCCAACATATCAATGAAATTTTTCCTCTATTAAGGACAGGACATGAGGCAGCTGGCAAAACTCAAGCAGGAGGGATTTAAGTAACACATCAGGAGAGAACACCTTAAAATCACCATAAAGTATTGCTTAAAGAAGGTAGGCCTCTCTAGACTATGTTAAAGTCATGTTGCTAGGTGCCATCCAGTCATCTCCAACTCATAGCAACCCTACGCACAGCAGAACGAAACACCGCCCAGTCCTGAGCCAGCTCCATGATTCTTGCTATACTTGAACCCATCACCGCTGCCACCGTGATAAAGTCATAGACAATAGTTATCTAAATAGGATAATTGAACCAAAATTCTTCCAAAAGCAAGAATTAGAAAACTCTGTAATTCCTTTCCACTTTAATATCCTTTGACTTAAAATATCTCCTTACATTTAAAAACATACCAATCTCTAAGTATATCTTAACTGAGGAAAAGACTTATTTTAACTTTGATCATAAATATAGGTATAAAAATGATAATTTTCATAAACTTAAATGTAGGTTTTTATCCTGAAGATACATCTATATTTAAGTTTGATCTTAGATCATAATCTTACATTTTCCCTAAGAAAAAATGCTGAAACATTTAGATTAACAAATAAATCTCCCTCAAAAATTTATTAACTACCACATGTATTATCCTGAGAATAATTTATCAGGCCAAAACTGGTAATGGTTATTATTTTAAATGCAGTAATAAGAATTTCCATTTCATAGTTACAACTCAAATTACATTCCAAACTGCCATCAATATCCTGCTTAATGGAAATGGGAAATTAGTCAACAAAAATAGAGATGCCAAGGAATCAAAAATCAAGTAATTGATTCAGAAAAATCCGTGACATCCAGTGACACATTCCCTTGTGATGTACTTATTAGGTTTGTCTAGGGATTTAGTCTTAGTTACTTTGAAAAATAATATATATTTCTATTTAAACAGAACTTGTTACTAAGTATTGTTACTACCGTCAATTTCATCTGTGTATTATATGGAAGCAATAAAGAGTTGATTCAATATATTAACAAAAGGGGTCCTTTGAGAAAGCAAGTACAAAAACGCAGGCATAGTACTGACCTTTTATTTTGCTTTCACCCCAATTAATAGCTTCATGGAAAAAATATCTTGGAGAAGTTGCTTCAAACTTTGAAAGAAAGAAATAAGTATTTAAAATGATTAACTTATTTAATTCAAGCCAAACAAGCTAATTAAAAATCTGAAAACTAGCTATAATACAGAAATTATAGCCTAAGATGTCAACTTTATATTCCTCTGGGTTATGGAGGTAATCTCAGTGAGGCAGAAAGGGCTTCAGGGTTGTGGTTAGAATATCAGATTTCAAACTTTGGTTTTGTCCCTTACATGACTTTGACAAGTCATTTACCCTCTCTGACCTCAGTTCTTCTCCCTCATCTTACCTTTATACAAGGATACTGGCTGGATATAACCTTTGCATTAACTGGTTGTTTTGCTTTCAGAAGTAGTAGTTTTCTGATACTTCCACATGCAGATGGGTCTGGAGAAAATGCAGGGGGCTGGTGCTCTAGTGGCGTGGTGCCTAAGGCATTTGACTGCTAACCAGAAAGCTGGCGGTTCAAACCCACCAGCCACTCCTCAGAAGGAAGACTGGGCAATCCACTTCCGTAGAGATGCTCGCCGGAATTTGACTCAACAGCAGTGAGTTTGGTTTTTTGATGGACCAACAGGTAGTGGTGGCCCTCATACCTACAGTCCCATCTAGGAAGATACCATCCACAGAGGCATTTTCTGCTACAAGGTTAGTGTGGCTTTCAGTCTTTAAAGAGCTGACACTTTAAAGTTCTACCACATTTAAATATTTCTTTTTAAAGAGCCCAAGGCACTTCAGGATCCTGAATTAAGAGCATGAATTACAGAATCAAACAGACCTGGATTAAAGTCTTGGTTCTGCTATTACTTCTCTTAGGCAAGCTCCCTAACTTTAGTGCCTCCACTTACCCACTTGTAAATTGGTATAATAATGGTGCCTACTTCAATGTGTAGTTATAACAATGAGTTGAAACAATATATGTAAACCTTTTAGCGTTTCACACTAAAGAAAAACACTCACAGAAAAACACTAATAAACAGATTGATATTAACCTAAGCAACTCAGTAAAACCTTAAGAGTTTTAAAGGTCAGTAGGCCTTAATAGCAAATAATTATAGACTACTAAAACTATTAAATGATGAAAGATTTTTCCAATTCAATGCCAATTTGGTTTATTATCTGGGGCAACATCCTTTCCAATAATATTTCTGATACTTACCAGGAACATACACATACACCAAATTTGCCCTAAAATTGTCAAAATGAATCCAAGAGGAAGTTTGAAAAACTGGAGAAGGGTGAAAGATAGGAAGGAAAGGGGATGGAGGATGTGATTTCAGATACAAAAGTTCTTTCTCAGCATATTCTAGTCTCCCTCCAAAAGCAAAGTGTTGTTTTCTTTAATAAGCAAACCTACCCCACAAGAGATAAAATGACTCCTACACTCTCTCATCAACTGAAGACTCATTTCCAAGCCCCTTGCCCAACATCACAGTTCCAAGTTCCCTGTTTCCTGCTCTGAATTCTCCTAGATTTCATCTTCCCTGCACAATCTCATCTTTTGCCCTAGTATTGCTTTGAAGTAGACTAGACTTTCAACAATCTATAACTTTTTTTCCCTTAAGATAGCAATTCTTATTCTCTCTTCAGCCATATTATTTCCAGCTGTCTATATTTAACACAATTAGCAATAGTACTGAACACCAATATCCCATAATTTTGGCTCCAAAATGTCTAATGCCAACTCCTCTAGTGGAAACCAAACAATCAACCATTTTCGATGCTCACAAAAAAAAAAAAAAGAAAAATACTAGTGACCTAAAAATCAACTCTGGCTCATACAGGTTTATAACCTTGAACAAATTGTTTAACCAGAACAGGGAATGAGTAGTACCTACATACCACAGTTATAAGGATTAAACGATATGAGGTAATTAAAAAAGCAAAAATAATGCCTGGCACATTATAAAGGCTTTAAATATACTACCTATTTTATTATTAGGTGAAAACAATACACCAGACAACACTAGACAAATGGAAAAATACATAATTTGTTTTTGCTCAATATAATCTCACCTAATTTAGGCCTCATTTCTTTTAGGGAAATTTTGATGACTTCCTAGCATGCCAACCTAGGTTAGAGGACCTTCCTCCTAATTATCACAGCATCTCATGCATCATAATACAACATTTCCCCAATGCTAAGACACAAGGAGCTCTGGTAGCCTAGTGCCTAAGGCACTTGACTGCTAACCAGAAGGCTGGCGGTTGAAACGCACCAGCCACTCCTCGGAAGGAAGGTTGGGCAATCTACTTCTGTAGTGATACCGCCTCAGAAACCCAAAGAGGGGTCACTATGAGTCGGGGCCAACTGGAGGGCATATAACAACAAGACACAACACACAGCTTTAACTTTTTAACATCTCTGAAATCGGTATGATATCTTACATTTATCATTGTAATCAAGAGCATTATAATTTTTTATGCTACATAAATAAAGGCAAATAATTGATGCTGTCTTGGATTCAATGAACCAGTTATGTTGTTGTTGTTGCTGTTGTTGTTGTTATGTGCCGTTGACTCGGACCCGACTCTTAGTGACCCCTCCTTGGGTTTCTGAGGTGGTATCACTATGGAAGTAGATTGCCCAACCTTCCTTCCAAACCAGTTACACAGAAATTAAATCTCTACATGCCTACCGCCGCTAGAATTGAGTTTCCAGATAATAAGCATTGCAATTTGCGTTTATATCTCCAGCACAGTTGCTGATACTTTTTCAACATATGCCACCTGAACTGAGAAAAAGATATTGTTCAAATGGAATTATCTGCCTCCCAAGGCTGTTTGGAACCATGACTATAGTAGATGGTGTTGATGTCCTCCCCACATTCCCTTAGCACACCTTGAAATTCACCTCCATATGGGTTTCTGTGTTCATTGAGACTTGTATCATCAAGTATCAGTTTCTCCCTGTCTTTGCCTTGAGCGGAGTTCAAGCCCTACAGACCACATGAAGTGCCTTCCAGACAACTTTAGTCCCCCCGAGGCTACTCTCAACCAATAAGAGACATGAGACATGAATTGGCAGATAAATGCCCTAGCTTCTCCATTCCTTGCAGAAATAATTCTAATACACATTCTACATAGTTCTTTAGAGTGTTCCCAACAAGACTGAACCCCTTTATTGGTTGTTCTCCCTTTCTTGTCTCACTTTTCTCTTTCCTCTGCTTATGCTTTCAGAAAATCACCCACTTAAAAAACCTGCACCAAATTTTGTCTCAGGGCCTGCTTTCAAGAAAAGAGCATTTGGTATGAAATGTAATGCAAGTGTGAAAGATCCCAGGCAGCAGGAGTATGTATTCACATAACTGGTAAAGAGGGGAAACCATTCTTCCACTATCTTGATTACATCTCCACAGGAGCTTGAGAAGCACAAGGAAATAGTCCATAGATGGGAAATCACTACAGCACACAAATGCACCATTTACAGAAGTTTGTGTCCCCTTTCAGGAAGCCTAGCGGTGCAATGGTTATGAACGCTGCTGCTAACTGAAAGGTGGGCAGTGAGAAACCACTAGTTACTCCCTGGGAGAAAGATATGGCAGTCTGCTTCCATAAAGATCACAGCCTATAGGGCAATTCTTCTCTATCCTATAGGGTTACTATGAGTCGTAACCCACTTGATGGCAATGGATGGTGGTGGTGTGTCTTCTTTTCTTGCTCACTGTTCACTTCATTACTAACATATTTCTGAATCTTTAATTATACAAATATCTGTTCAGCGGTGCTCTGTTTTCCTAGAACAGGGTAATGAATCTGTGGGTGAGAATGGCCTTCTAACAGATGAAGTTCCAGTCCTAAACAGCACGACCATTTTAATGTTTCTTCATTAAAACCTGTGTAGTAGATGTTAAATGACTTGGACACATGTTCTCTTGTTACAGGAAATAGAAGTACAAGCATCCTGCCCTTCATGCTCTCTAGAAGGGTATCAAGACAAGGGGATTGTGTTAATTACTTATCAACAGAAGGGATAATATTCATTTAACTCCTTTGGGGTAAATTATGCAAATTCTAAAAACATGTAAATGGACAAGAGTGTATGTCATTTTATGTCAAACTTTGGGGTATATGTCACAGGCCCCTCCAACTCGTGGGCTCACCAGAATGTAGTTTTCTTCATCAGATTTTCTACTGATCATGCTAATATTATTTTGTGGCTAATGTGGTCCACTGGCAAACGTGTACTTAAAATTTCCCAGACATAAATCATTTTAACCATTTCCCATGATATATAAGTAGCTAAGTAAACAAAGCACTCTTTTTAAGGAAAATGTTGTTCCTACTCTATAGAAAATCCTTTGCCATACAAGTACCAAAAAAAAAAGAAGAAGAAAGAGAAAAATAGCCTCTACTCTTGATAAAATAAATTAGTTCTGTCATCTAAACTCTCACAGAGCTTACCTAACCTATCTTCCATTCATCTACTAATTCTCTTCAATTAACACCATAAAATACACAAATTCAGGCATCTGTGAAAAAATACCAGTAGAAATTGATTGCATTCCAACATTTAGCAAAAGCCTATTTGAGTATTTAAACTGTTTGCTACATAAATGCTCAAATCTTATTACTTCCCAAAGAAATTCCTTTGCTAAATTAAATTCTCTATTTTACCATCCATCTTTTATAGAGAAACAGTTTTAAACATTTTAAACAGTCATATGAACGTTCAAACCAAAAGTTTGAAGATATTCTTATTATATTATACAATATCCTTTATATAAATGGGCCCAGGCAAAAAGTTTTCCTTAAATTCAGTACACCCCTTACCTGTCCTCCCCCCGAAAACAGATTGTATCTCCAGAAATACCTGTAATTTAAATTTATCAGATAATATGAAAGCTCTGTCAGAATATTGCCATCAAGATGATTGCAACTCATGATGACCCCACGTGTGTCAAAGCAGAACTGTGATCCATAGGGTTTTTGAAAGTAGATCACTAGGCATCTCTTCTTCTCAGGCACCTCTTGGTGGACTCCAACCACCAACCTTTCAGACAGCAGCAAGTGCATTGACTGTTTGCACTACCCAGGAACTCCCCTCAGTATTTAACGTGTATCATTTACACTCTGCCATTTACACTCAACTACCAACCTGAAGGTTGGCAGTTCTAACTCACCCACTGATGTCATGTAAGAAAGGTCTGGGATCTGTTTTCTTGAAGATTACAGCAGTTCAACTCTGTAACACATGGACTAGCCATGAGTTGGAATCCACTAAACAGCAAAGGGTTTTCGACTCTTTTTCACTTGTATTTGTTCTTTTTCATTGTCCTAACTTTCATTGTCCTTAATTTTCAAGTTTCAAATTTTCTGGCACATAGATGAGATCAAATCCCCTATAAATAGTGTGAACCTATCAGTAGATAAAGGAGGTAAATAGCAAAAATAATTTCATTGCAAACAAGTAAACAGGAACTGTAGATTAATCGCAGAATAGCAGTACCAAAGTTACATTGCTTCTTCCTTCTCCATCCTGTCCTGTTTTCAGCATTTTATTACACGCCACAAAGGTCTCATTGTTGAAGTGACAGCAGAGATCCACAGCAGAATGGATTATTTCTCTGCCTCTCTCTCCACTTGAGGCTTAACCTACCTGTGCTGCTAAAAGAGCTCTTTTCTGTCGATTTTCATTAAACCCTTCTCTGGAAGAAAACAAAAAGAACTTGTATAGTCAAAGGCCTCTAGGCAACCTGAACAAGACTTTCCCAAGAGAGAGCTGGTGTTTTCCTCCTGATTTCCATCACTTTATCAAAGAGGTCTTTCTTGGTTTAACATTTAAAAGGTCCCCCTCCCTTCTTCGGGGGGGTTAGATTTAGGTGGTGGCCCTGGTTGTCTCATTTTACAAAATTCAGGAGTGTTCCCAAATCTCTCCGGTCTCTGATGTGAACTGAATTTTAGGAAGGAACTTTGAGATAGAAAAATAAACAAAATAGTGTTAACATTGCAGCACCAACACATATAATATTTTCTTCACCTGACTTCATAAAACTGATGAGGGACATATTCCCCAACAGCATATTCACTTTTTTCAAATGTAATTCCTAATTGTCTCCCTTCCCATGTCATAAAGATCAGATTATCATTAGTGTGACTAAGGATATCAATTGTGATTTATCAAAATCAAATGCTATTACAGTAACTGTCACTGAATTATAAATGCAAAAATGGTTGAAATAGCAAATGTATAATTTTATATATCTATTTTATCACAATAAAAGAAATTAAATGTTGAATAGAATTCTGCTTTTCATTGAACAGTTTGGTCCAATTATTATTTCCATTATTTGCTACTGGAATCATTTTATTCCTTTTTCTCATTAAAAAAAAAAAAAGTTTTTCTCTATGTTAAGACTATAGCACATTGGTAATAAGTAAATAGATATTGATAAAATAACAATAAAAAAGAGGAATTACTGAATAAAACTTCTTAACAAATCTTTGAAATGAAAGTAATATCTCCTTAGTATCTGCTTTCATTGAACATCACCAAAAAGTCTTGTAATCAAAATGAAAGGAAATCTTTTTTGCTTCATAAATAAGGAAATGAAGGCCTGATCATTTTTAATCTTGGAAATGTTTCTAAAAAATACATGTCATGCATTTTTTAAAAAATGTTCTGTTGGCTTTTTCAAAAGTATAAACTTAAGTTATAGTTTTCTGCTGAACTTTGCTCATTTCCTTTGCCTTTATGTTTTAGAGGTCATAAAGAACAAGAAATACTCACTTTGATGTTCTCGTCAAGATGGATGATGCACAGATATATCCTGCCATAGTGTGAAAAATAAAATATATATATAAATATATAAGAATGAAAACCATGTATCCAGATATATTGGTCTATTTGACAGATCGTTATAACCTAAATACTAGACTTAGATTGAGTTTTGCTGCTGATTAGTTTGCTTTCTCTCAAGGATGGTAATCAGCAAATTCCCTGGGAGACATTGAAGTGATTAATAATCCAGGGAGAATGGACAGTGTCCACAGATTTATGCTGAACCATGATATAAAGTAATAAGAACTGGACTTGGAGACAGAAATTGACATTTTAGTCCTGGTCCTACCACTTAGGAAATGCCAAGCTTAAGCAAGTTACCAAACACACTACAAAATGACAGTGTTGGACAAGTTCATCTCCAAAGCCCCTTTAGCCCTCAGTGCTCCAGGACATCTTGCTCCTTGGAATTTCAGTCATTCCTAGGATTGGAAGATCGCTTCTTTGACCTTTATAGTATTTTACACTTGGTAAATTCTCCCATTTCTGCCGTAGGATCCAAAACATACAGCCATTTCAGAGAGTAAAAACTAACAACTGAATGTAAGTAAATACTTTCCCCATAAAAATATTTTCTACAAAATTAATTTATAAATAAATAGCTCTAAAAAATAATGGAATATAAATTCTTAACTTCAACTCTGATAGTCAGTGTTAAATATATTTTTACATTCCTTGGTTTGATGGCATAAAGAAAGCTTAAGCACTCAATTTCCCTTCATTTATTGTAAAACTGCAAATGTTTCAATTACATATAGACAGACAATTCTTTTTTTAAATAAAATTTTAGAAAAGAAAAGAATCAGAGCTTCTAATAGTACAGTTGTGTATCGGAATAGAAGCATGATTTCGGGTGGCCATTTAAAACAGACTCAAAAATGAAACAAGACGCTCCAAATTATATAAATAATTGAGAATTTCCAAAAAGATGTTCCCGATGTCACTTAGAATATAATCATTCAAATGACTTCAAAGTGCTTTACACTGTAAGGAGAAAATGTACATATCAATTGTCAGAGAAACTAAAACACTGAAATTAAAGTAAAAATTTAGTATAAATTCTTACCTTGTAACAAAAACAGCAGTATATGAAGCAAGAATATACTCCAAGGTATCATTAAATTGAATTTTCTCACAATGTTCATTTCAGTGCAGTCTTTCTCCCTGAAACATAACCAAATTGTTGGTCTTTACTATGATGGCATCTTAAAAGTGTTCAAATTCTTACAAATACAGCTATGAAATAAAGTAGTTCAAAAAGGGATTCCTGGCTTTCTAACTACATACAGCATCTGAAGCTTTAGAACTTGCAGGCAACTCTGGCTGAGTGTCTCATTAGTGATGCATGGCAGCTTCCTACCTGAGCCCGTATTAGTTACACCCTACCCCATGCCTGCACATCATTTCCCTTTTTAAGTCTATATTTGCATTTTATGGCTTCTAAAGACAGGAATATCAAAAAATAAAATTAAATAAAACCAATGCTATTTTCTGATGTCACTAGAGATACCATTATTTCTAATTGCTGATCTATTCTCTATGTTTTAGAATTTTATTCATAAAATAACAACTGTCCATTGGGGAGAAAACAGGTTACAGTAAAATCTTATTAACCTTTCCTAGAATGCCTAGATGATCTAATTTTTTTCTTTAAGAATTAAAAGATAATTTATGTGCATATATTTTCAACTCAAATTCCGTTAAAGTGTGTAGTTTAAGTTGACATAGTCACTTGCCCACAGATCTTTCCGTTAAACATTTTCAACAAAGTACAAAAAAGCACAAAAAGATGTGATTCTAGTATTTGACTTTAAAAAGAAAATAAAGTAACGCATCTGGCCCTAAAAGCTGTCCCTTCATACTCTATTTTTCCATCTTGTATGATAAGTGCCCAATTAGACAACAAAGGAAGATTTCTTGTATCAGCAGTAGGGGCATTCTTCTCTGAATGCAATTGACTGACTAGATTGGCATCAGAAAACAGCTCTAATATTTCATAACGAATTCCAAAGAGAAGATCTAAGCCTCGCAAATGAGTAAAAGCCATGTTTATACGGGGGCACATTTTCTATGGTAGAGCTCATGAGTTACCTGTACTATTATCATATTCATTAAACAGATGGGGGCACAATAGAACATAGGAATTACCTTATGAGACAATATGAGCACAGAAGTTCTTAACATCCTACTGTACTCAGACACAACTTCTGCAACAGCTACTGAGTTCTTTTCAGTAAATTATCCTTGAAATCCTATTATGTTCTCAGAGGGAAGACTGGACAATCTACTTCCATAAAGTTTTACTGCCTCAGAAACCCAAAGGGGGTCACTATGAGTCAGAATAAACCCCAATAGCCATTATCTGTTGTTGTTGTTGTTAAGTGCCGTCGAGTCGGCCCCGACTCATAGCGACCCCTCCTTGGGTTTCCGAGGCAGTATCACTACGGAAGTAGGATTGCCCAACCTTCCTTCCGAGGAGTGGCTGGTGGGTTTGAACCGTCAGCCATCTGGTTAGCAGGCAAGTGTCTTAGCCACTATGCTACCAGAGCTCCCAGCCATTATGGAGCCATTATCTATATCTGTATATAAAAAAGTCCTGTGGCAGTGTTCCAAATTCAGTGATCATTTACTCTTGCTCTACATGATCTTAATTGCTTTTCATTGCCTACATAAGACCATGAGCCCAGAGAGTAGTTTACCTATAAGAGAATAAAAGCTTAAGCATAAATAAATGCACAAATTTCACTAAGGATATAAAAAGCTATTTGTCCCTGTCTACACACAAACAGCCAGAATGCTCCTTGGAAGTGAGAATGGCCAGACTTCAACTCACCTACTTTGGCCATGTTGTCAGAAGGGACCATTCCCTGGAGAAGGATATTGTGGTAGTTAATTTTGTGTGTCAACTTGGCTGGGCCTGGTTGAGTGTCTGGGCAGCTGGATGTAGTTATTCCTCATGGTGAGACTAGTAATCAACTCCATGCTAGAATCTATTAGAGCAGCTGAGGAGCTACTTTAGGGATGTGGTCAGCTTCTAGTACATATAAGAAGCAATTTTGAGGTAAGTCTCCTGCTGATGGCATGCTTGAACCCTGCATGTAGCTGAGTCATTGTTCAGCAGCCTGCCATGTTGCCCTGCCAATCTTAGGACTTTTAATGGACTTGAATTAATGGCCTGCCATGTGGTTTGGTAATATCGGGCCTGTGCCTTTTCACTTGTCAAGCTTGGGTTTGTAAGCCTCAGCAGCTAGTAGCTGCCTGAGTGAAGAGATGCTTCTAGATGCAGTGGGCCAGGAGCAAGAGGCAGAGCTGAAGCCCAAGGTCAAGGGGCTTTCATCCAGCCCCTAGAGTCTGGCACCTGGAACTAAGACTTCTAATCTCCAAAATTATAAGAGAGTAACTCCTGTTTGTTCAAGCCATTTCTGTTTGTGGTATATTCCTGTCAGAATGGCAGCAGGTAACCAAAACAGATATCATGCTTGATAAAGTGGAGGGTTGGCAAAAAAAAAAAGGGGGGGGAAGGGCCTCAATGAGATGGACAGACACAGTGGCTGCCACAATGAACTCAGGTATAGCAAGGATTGTGATGCCGACGCCGGCCTGGGCACTGTTTCCTTCTGCTGTACAAAGGGTCACTATGAGTCAGAGCCAACTTGATGGCACCTAACAACAACAACATACAAATGCAATCATTTTAAAATTTTGACTGATTTAAGCATAATATGGGGAGCTCTGGTAGCATAGTGCCTAAGTCACTTGACTGCTAACCAGAAGGCTAGCAGTACAAACCCACCAGCAACTCCTCGGAAGGAAGGTTGGGCAATCTACTTCCATAGTGAAACTGCCTCAGAAGCCCAAGGAGGGGTTGCTATGAATCGGGTCTGACTAGATGGCACGTAACAACAACAACAAGCATAATATGTGCTCAATAAATATTTATTGCTAAGTTGTTGTTTGTTGCCCTCACATCAGCTCTAAGTCATGGCTTCCTTATGTATAAGAGAATGAAACTTTGTCTAGTCCTGTGCCTGCCTCATGACTGTTGGTATGTTTAGTCCATTGCTGTGGCTGTTATGTCACTCCATCCTACTGAGAGCTCCTCCGTGTTCACTGACTCTGTACTTTACCAACAAGAAGCTCTCATGGAACAGTGCCTAAAGCATTTGACTGCTACCCAGGAGGTTGGAGTTCAAACCCACCAGCCGCTCCATGGGAGGAAGATGGGCTAATCTACTCCTGTAAAGATTTACCCCCTCGAAAACCCAATGGAGGTCGCTATGAGTTGGAATCCATTCAGTGACTGTGAGTTTGATTTTGTCTGCTACTTTACCAAACATGATAGCCTTCTACAAAAATTGATCTCTGCTGATGACAAGTCCAAAGTAAGTGAGCCAAAGTCTAGCCATCCTCCTTCTAAGGAGCATCTGAATTGTCTCTCTTTTAAGACAGATTTATTTGTTCTTCTAGCAGTCCATATTCTTTGCCAACACCACAATTTAAATGCATCGATTCTTTTTTCATTGTTCACCTTTCACATGCATATAAGGCAACTAAAAAGATCATGGGTTGGGTCAGAAATACTTTAAATATCAAACTGACATATTTGCTTTTAAAAATTTTAAGCTGAGTTTTGCAGCAGATAAGTGACACACATCAGGACAAATCCCAAAGGGAACTTAAAGTTATATTTCATGGTTCAGTCATATAAATGTTTTAATAATACTCATAGTTTTTTCTAAATACTCCTAACACTCAGTGAGAAAGAGTTAGTATACTGTCATATAAAGTGATGTGAAAAGTACTGATTTCTGACATAAATTTAGTATTTTATGTTCTTAATTAAAATGTAATAACCTTAACTTTTTCATCTCAATTTCATGCAGTATCTTTAAACTTTTGATTCAAAGCATGACAGTCATTTTCACTTCACAAAATTGAAAACTCTAAGCCTACATCACCTGAGATTTGTATTACTGTTTTTCTGTCTTGCACTATAATGTATCAGAAACTAGAAAGTTTGTTCAGTAAAGAAAATCGTAGAAATTATCAAAGGAAACTCCAAGGTGGCAATTCTTGTGCAGAGATTTAGTATATGCCTCCTCTCTGCTTGTTTTCCTTCCAGGTTCATAGTAGTGTAGGAGGTTAAAAGAGGAGAATGAACAATGGTAAAGAAAGAATAACAAAAATCTCAAGTTCTTTCTCAACAAGCTACATTACTAACTTGTTACATGAAATGGTAGGCTGAATAAAAATAGGCAAAATAGAATTCCTCGAATAGCTACAATAGAACAGAGAGTTTAGATGAAAGATTAGACTCAGAGGCACAAAGAAAGGAATTTATGACTGTTGCTAGTTATAATTATTACTGTCAAAATTCAGTTGACGGCTTTTATATTTCATTCTACCCTGACAAAAGAACTTTGGCAAAAAGTGAGTCAGCCACCAGATTGTGAAGGGATATTAAATTCATAAGAAGTCTGAGACGACTACATAATGTAAGGAATAAACAGTTCCCTTTCTGCTAAAAAAGCACTGCACATTTTCCCACATGGAATATGATCTTTATAAAGTTGACACATATCAGCCAATTGACCTCAACATACCACATTAAAAACACCTGGCAAGAACTGGAATTTTGGGTTGTTATACTCCATATGTAAAAAGTAATAAAAGGTATTTTTAAATGAAGTTCATTAACTTTAGGAAAGGTTAATTTCTTTGGTGAGTTTTATAATACTCAATTTTCAGTAATTGGAATGAATCTAAAGTAGATAACATTTGACTCCCATTGTATCACATTCTGCTAGTGAAATGCAGTTATTCCTCACTTGTTTTACTAAACTTAACACATTTCAGATTCCAAAATCTTATCCAGAATTTATAAGTTATCATGGGGCAAGTAAAAGGAACTCTCTATCTTAAGACAATTTGAAGCACTCTGAATGAAACTGCCTTAATGATAAGACAGTTTTGAAAATTCCATATATACTTTCAGGTGTGTTGCTTGGCAATTTCTATGCAAGTTTCATGTAATTTAATGTAAAAGTGGTATCTTAGTTTTTTTTAGTAAAAACATGATTATGTTTCATAGGTAAGATCTGTGTTGGTCAGGATTTCA